GATTAGACAAATTCATACAAGAAAGATCCAGCAGTGACAATGGTTTAGCAAGTGATTTAGGAAGGTTAATAGGTGCGTGATTGCTGAAAGCTGGGAGACATGCCAGCAATGGTTCTGTCCCATCTCTACAGTCTTCTCCTGAGTATCAACTACAGGGCAGTGTCAAAGAGAGGATGCTGGGCTAGATTATCTTTTAGTATAAGAATAACTATGACTATAGTAAATCCAGGAATGTGATTCTTTTTTTTAATGAGACTTTCAGCCAGCTTTCTGACTAGAAATATTCAGAATAGAATGATTTTAAAATTCCAGAATCAGGCACTCATATTTTCTGAGTTTGCGGTTGCTAATAATTTCTCTTACAAATACAAGATATCCTCAGTGGTGTTTTGTTGCTAACATTTGAGGAAAGTCTGCAATATTGCTGTCAGTAGTTCATCTCTCTGTCACGATGTTCTACGCTGGTAAAATAGGCATCTTAGAGAAGTCTTCCAAAAGTTTCAAGGAGTAGCTTAGAGAAAAACTAGCAGAATCATCAGTCAAAGTCCTGTTTTTAGAAGTCTGCAAAGAATCTTAATGCTATAGTAAGTGAATTGTACTGTGGCTGCTAATGCTTTGGAGACTTTGAAGATGAGACTCAGATTTCTGAGGGGCTTAAGTGCTTATGAAAACGCTGATGTGAAACAAAAATGTCAGAAGGAAGGAAGAGAAGATCGTGGGAGGAAGTGGACAGTGGTCATACTGTACTTGACATTGACTCTGTGTAGCATTTCTACTTTTGTATCTTCCTGCTTGTGGTGTTGGTTTCAGGTACCCTTACCAGACCTTTCTCCCTTGGTGGTATCCAAACAGGACACTCGATCAGAATAGCTTCTTTAGGCCAAATACTGTGGGAAGCTCTGAAATACCAGTGGAGCTAGTTTGAAAAGTTCATCAGATAAATTAAATGAGAAACCAAAAGCATTAGTTTATTTAATAAATAAAACATCCATCTTTATCAGTTGTAATGTTTCCTACTCTTTGATACTGTTCCACACTACCGATCTCTAGAGGATCCCATCTTACCAAGATACAGAACACAAGTTTGATTATGTGTAGGCGGTGGGCCAAAAAGCTAGAGGTCTTATGCAAATTCAGATATGCATTAATTTGCATAATGCTTCTGATATATAGCTGTATCTACATATGTATGTATATGTGCATCCATTATCTCTCCTTCTCTTTTGAAAGATACTTCTTTCCCAGCCTCTCCCTGAGCTGGCTCTTCCCTTATTCCTTGTTGTCCTTGATGATGACTGGCCAATTTGAAGTCCAGGCCCTCATCTACCCTATGATAGACAAACCCTAGGTTTGTCACTCTGGTCTAAACTCTGTATAAGCAATTCTAGCGCTTGTGCTGATTGTCATCTTAGCTATTTATTTGGGCTGGTAAGAAGTAGTTAAGGGCTGTGGAAACTGAGTTATTTCTAGATGCTTCCATCAGGGATTGTCTTTGGTAGATGTAATCACAGGACAGTTCTTTGTGATGAGGGTTACAGAGAATGGCTTAAGGACATATGTTCACTTTCTCCTAGTTTTTCCTCCTCTTTTTGAGGATGAGGGTTGGAGCAGCCATGTGGGATAACCATCTGAGCTCAGCTCAGGTGAGAACCTTTTTCCATCTTTTTGTGAGTTTGGATTGTGTAGATTTGCTGAAACCTTGCTCCAGCGTCCACCCTGGGATCATCAGTAGGATTTTGAGGCTCAGCTTTCCCGTAAGCAGTGGATAATGTACTCTAGGAATCAGCACACTGTGAAGTGGTGAGGCCAAGCTGGGTGAAAGAACTTTTGCCAGATAAGGAGCTTAGGAAATGGATTTCAGTTTCCATACACTAGTTTAAAGGAAGAGAGACCTGCACCTGCTGCCTTGGGGCTGCTGTCCTCAGGGAGACAACCCTGGTCCTGGATAAGATGAACAGTGGTAGCTGATTTTGTGCAAAAGGTTGCCAGAGAAAAGACATGTCTGTTTGCTCTAAAAAAAAATTTCTTTTTTATAAAAAGTAGAGTAATAAAGAAAGTGAGCTTTGTATTTGTGCTCAATAAATTTAAAAGTTTTTAAAATGGCCTTAGCTGGGACTTAGAGTAGATGTTTGAGTGAAGGCATTTTAAATCACAAGTGACTTTTTTCCTATATCTAGAGTTAGGCCCTGAGGTGCAGGTCTCCAGCAGGTGTAAACTGTCACACAGAGTGGCAACAATTAAAGCTCCTGAGGATCCACACTCAGTTTTTCAAAACAGTCAGCAGCCCAGCTTGACATGTAGAGCCTCCAAAACTGGAGCCAGAAAAGCTTTATTCAAAACCTGGCTACTTATTTTGGGGTTTATGTGGAACTTAATCTCTAGAAAATCTGGTCCAAAAGGCAGTCTCACATATGCTGCATTACTGATGTTTACATGTTCAAGCTGGGTAAGTTGAGCTGCATTGAATGAGGGTTGCACAAACAGTGAAAGAAAGAAAAAACCTCTTTGGCAGCTATTGCATTTTTGATCTTTGAAAAAATTCAGATACACGAAGGAATTATTCTGCCAGATCTACCAAAGCTTGAGCTCATTGGAGTCGATGGAGTTCTCTCTCCTAACTTCAGAAGACTTTTTTACCCCATTCTCTAAACTAGGTTAGTAATAGACTGGTTGTAAAGTGACCTTATTGGAAAGAAAGTTTACCAAGTAAGTAATTCAGTAAATATTTTCCAGGCAGCCATGTCCAATAGATTGCTTGGTATGGTGGATAATAAGCAATACTGCCTTTTAAGACTGTGATAATAGAGAGTGCTCCAAAAAAGCCTGACCGTAGTAGGATTGAGGCCTGAGAAGAGAAAATGTTAATCCTACACCACCAGGCCAAGATTTATTGGAAGGCTTGTAGTATGGAGATAGAGATATAGTAGTTCCCTAGATCCCAGCTGCTCCCTTTCTTCAATTCCTTCTCTTCATAAATGCATATTAAAATAATTTTGAGGCAAGTAATTGAAAACAAAAATTTCCTTAGAAGAAATTCCTCGTAGTAAAACTTTTTAAAGAGTTTAAATTGTAGTAACTTTTATTCCAGCACATGGATTTGTGGTAAATTGAGCTGTCTCTTTACAGAAGTGGTAAATCACCAGCATTTGCTATCAAGAGCAGAAAAAAATGTTTATAAATCATTGCATTTGTTTCAGATTATTCATCAGAGCTGGAAGGCAATTGTTCAAGTTGCTTTGTGATACTATAAACAGAAAGCTGGGAAGGCCACGTACTTTGTAGCAAAATCTTGGGATTTGTACATGTACCAACTGAGACTTTTTCCTTCAGTAAGTGTTCAACTAATCTTCCAGAGAGGAGGATTCCAGTGTGCTGTTTTGAAAGAACAAGTTTGAGTTGGCACTAATAGGGCAGCAAGGCCTGCTGACTCACAGAGGAAGGGTCTCAGAAAGTTGTCTTATTTATCTTTCCTTCTTATACTGCAGTAGGCAGGGAAAGTCTTCACTTCTTTTCCTTTGCCCTCCCAAACTGCTCTGATGGGGTTTTGAAAATGTTCAAATCTGGAAGAGAGTAAGAACTGAGGGCGGGGAGGATTTTGGTAAGAAAATTTGAGGCAATAGTGCTTAATATTTCCTGGTAAATAAAAAAAGGAGAAGGACTGTCTACACACTTGCGTTGTAGTTCAAGACAGGAGGAGACTGCCTGGTTTCCCTGGGTACTGCTGTAATTACCTTAGAGCTTTTTTCTCTGTGAGAAAGAGCTACAATTTCTGTCCCATAAAGCGCGGGCAGCATACCAGCACAAAGGGCAATAGCAGGCTTAGCCGAGCAAGCTGCCGGAACTAGCCGGCTTTCCTGCATTAGTTACCGACTGAGTTTCCCCAGCGTTTCAGAGCTTCCTGGCCTTGCCTGCTAGAGTGCTGGCAAAAGCAGCTTGGTTTTACCTTAGTGTATTGTGGCCAGTCCTGGAGGAATTAATTTCTGGAGAAGCTTCCGCCAGCTCTTTTGAGGTTTTGAATGTTGTGGATCATTTAGCTTTGTTGTGTTTTTTCCCCACTCCAAAAACAAAATGAAAGCAAAATACATACCAACTCATTTGCTGACATGTTGGCACATACTGTGAAATAACTAACTGGTTGCAGTCTCTCCATACAAAAGGAGAACATGAATTTTTCAGGTGGCAAGTTGCTTTTATCCAAAGAAAAAACAGAAAATGGATATGATATACCTTTTATGAGCAAAACAGGAGAGTTGCAAGGTTGAATGTGGGTCAGATACCTTTTAGTGGCAGTGGTTTCCCAATGCTGAAACATATGTCTCTGTTAAACACAATAGCATAAAAGCTTTTATGCCAAAGAGAGGTGATGGGGGGTAGGCAGGGACCCTCAAAACTGCCAGTAGCTAATGCTGCCTTTGTGGTTTTATATATTTGCCTATTAAAATGACAATACAGACATGGAACATTTAGATTTAAGAAGCCTTCTTTTCATTAAACAACATTAAACAAACTGACAAAGTAGGGGGTTATGACTCCAGTAATTGAAACATGCTGTTCTGTTCAAGACCAGAACTCTATAAAGACTCTTTTCACCCAGTAATGCCCTTTGTGTTTGCCTGCTACCCCTGCTAGAAATTACTGTAGGCCTGACGTATGTCTTTCCAAGTGGAGTGGGAATGACAGAGTGCAACACCACACTTGGCAGATGGGGTCACAGCCTTTTTAGGACGTTAACATTCATTGTGCATTGGAAATCAATTTGCAGCTCAGAATGCATGGAGACTTAGGTGGACTCCTGTCCCCACTGTGTTTTTTATGTTAACTTTAAACCTAGGATGCAGGAAAGAGAATTAGATGGATTAATTTGGATTAACTCTGATGGGGTTAGGGTCGTTTTCATTAGCTTAATTGACAGTGTGCCTTTTCGTGGATTCCTTGCTCTTCTAGATGTGTATTCTGAATCTGTACATTATCTTGCATTTCTTTTTCCTTCTCTCTTCTAGATGTTGATGAGTGTCAGGATAACAATGGAGGGTGCCAGCAGATTTGTGTAAATACTATGGGCAGCTATGAATGTCAGTGCAAAGAGGGCTTTTTTCTGAGTGATAACCAGCATACCTGCATTCATCGCTCCATTGGTAAGTTTTCAGCATCTAAACTGTGCTCTTTAGAATAACTGTTTAGGGAGATTTTTTTTTATCCCCAGAGCTCTCAAAATCATTTCACTGGTTGGTTGGAATTCATTGATTCCTCTGCTACCCAAACTTGTAGCAAAGCCATAAATAAGACAAGGGAGAACGCTTTAGTTTGACATAGAAATTATAGTTGGTTCAACCAGCAGGCTCTTTGCACAGGCAGAGGCAGATTTTCAAATGGCAACTTTCTGCTTCTGAGTTTCCAAGACTTACAAATTTCTCATCTGTTTATTCTATAATAGTTCATCTGTCTTCCACCTTAGAGAGCAAGGTATCTTAAATCAAATTGAACAGCTTGTTGCTTCTGGAAGTTATACAGGTTACAGTTTTTTGTCAGTCATGTAACTCATTGCTTCATTGCAGACTGATGATGGCTGATACTATATTGATACAGAATTTTTCTTTGGTTCAGTATCCTATCTAGGGTGGACTAGAAAACTGCTTTTCTGTTGCCTATGCACTAGCAGTAGAAATAAGGAATCCCTGCAAAACTGATCCTCGTCTGCTGATGATTTTGACTAGAATAAGCAGCTCTCCCTTTTCTATACGTGTCAGACATGGAAGACAAGTTTGAGTGGAAAGGGAGAAAAGAAAACAGCATAGCTATAAATCTTTGCTGTTAAGTGGACTCTTTATGTGTTCATTCAGACTTCTGGTGACCCTGGCAGCAATGGGAGTATATGCTAGCAAACTCATTTACCAATAGGCAATACAGAATGACAAAGTAGCAAGATGAGTCTGGTGATCAACAATGTAAGCATGCTGTAAATTTCAACAAGCCACACAAATGGTTCTGAACTATTTTAAGTCACTAAAATTAACCAGAAAATCCTACTTGAACATAGAGTATGAATTTAGTCACTGTGTTGACAAGAAAGCAAAATGTTGTAGTGTAGCATCTCAGAAATGTAAATTTGTTTCTGGCACTGTATGTCTGCTTACACAGAATTGTAAAGACAAGTAGTAATTTTGATTTTCAGAAATGTGAATCTCCATAACATATTCACAGGTCCACTTTTTAGAATAATTGTTAAGTTTTAAGCGGTTGTGTTATTTTGATTATTTTGATTATGACAAGAACGTACAATTAAGCTTCATCAACCAGTGCATTTTAAAGGTTGTTATCTAATAGGTTTTTAGTCATTCTTTTCAACATAAATTGTTCAGATTTCTGTCCAGCGTAAAGTAACCCTGACACAAAGATATCCAACAGAGCAAGGAATAGTAGCTGGAGGCTTAATGAAAACCACTTGCAGAGTACTGTGATACAATCATTATTTCAATTTGCACGTTATAAAAATTCCCAGCTGTAATAAAAGAGAATTTAGTTATCTGAGATGGAAACTAATGAAATAAATGAAAAATGAGACTCTAAAGGTAGACGTTTCTTCTAAGGAATAGATTTATTGAGGGAAAAGGGTAAGTTTTTATGGCAAAGAGGATTCCTAGTTTGCCGGAAGGACTGGGGGAGTGGATTTGAGCATTGACTGCCGTATGCACGTAATAAATATTCATGGGAATAATATATTTGTGTTAACTTGTTTGAAAAGAAAATGTCACATAAGACATGGACGTTTAATTTGAAGCAACATCTTCAAATTATTTTGGATCTGAAAAACCAAGCAACCCACCAAATAGACCAATGGTGATTGCAAAGTGTTTTATGAACAAACGGTTTGTACATTTTCAAAAATAAAGTGCGAGTTTACAGTAACAGCAAACATTACCCCCTAGTGCCATGATCCCACACACAAATACATTGTGTGGGTATGCTGGAGGAAGGAAATGAAATGAAATGATCTGTTTCATTTGTCAGAGGTGACTGAACTGCAAATAGTAAACATGCATGGTGAGAAAGTAAATGGCTTTTTTAATATCTGTGTTTACTCACTTTCATCTGTCTCACTTGTAAGCGCCACTACAGAAGCTGTTGGAACGCAAAAATACACATCAGCATATTTAGCCAGAATTGTGCCTAGGGCTAGATTGTGTCTATACCTCTGTTGATAAATAAGGCTGAAGTGGACAAAGGCACACACACACAGCTAGCATTGCAATCCAAACACAAAGGAGCTGACTTGCCAAAGCCCTTTAGCAAGCTTGTTGACTTTGAGCATAATGAGATCCGTTAATTGCAGTGGGATTACTTTTCTGTCTCTGAAAAATGCATGTGCAGTCACACAACCTCGGTGTCCTTGACATTACCTAAAGTCTCTTCAAGGACTCAGCTAGTCTAAAACACTCAACCGCAAGGTTCTTCGTGCAGTTCGCTACCACCTTTTCCCTCCTGTTTTCAATGCCTTGGGAAAAAGGGAGAAGCATTGCAAGGTGCTTAGGACATAGCTGGAGTTGGGATGAGTTCGGAATGGAGGGAGCAGTATCAAGCCTAAGCAATGCCCTGACTTCCAGGCCCAGCTCACCTGCCTTGGCCATCAGCCAGGCTGGTGCTGAACATGTGCTTTGAGCTCATCAGCACATTCAAGTGATGTGGTAGTTTCAGGGTTGAAAAAGCGCATTGGATATTCTCTTGGGGGTTGAGCAGAGGAAGGAATATGTCCCTTTTTGCACTAACCAGCACTAACCTGGTATGAGGCACCCTCCTTAAAGTTGTCGGCTGCTGTGTGAATTTCCTCAGCTTCCAGAGATGCGCTGTGCCTGTTCCAATATTGGGGGTGTATTGTACCACCATGCTCCTACCCACAAGCTGTGGTTAAAAGCCACACTGGAGTTCATGGCAGGGGTTTTTAATATCATCCTTGCATTCCAAACAATGATCACTTGCCATCTAGAAGTGTTCTTATTATTTCCTGTGGACAAAAAGGATTAGTGATCCACAGAGAAATATGAATTTTATACCAACGGGAGGCCAGGCTGACATTAAAGTCAGGGCAAACCCTGGTTTCCCAGTATTTGCTTTATTTCACTGCCTTCCTTATAGGCCTACTGATTTCTTCTGTTCAGTCTCAGTATCTTTTGGGAGGATACTATGCCCAATACAACTTACCTCATTTATTTTTATAAAACTTAATTTCCCTTTGCTGAGTCAGATTTCAGTACTAGTTTACTCACAATAATGATGGCAACAATGAGGAGAGAGAATTGGAGGGAGAATGGATTGTAAAAGATACAGAGGAATTAACAGTTGTTTACCTTAGTACATCTTAATTGCAGTAGTAGGTGTGAACACTGTGAGTTATACCAGAGACATGTTTGTGTTTGTTTCCTCATGACTTAAAAAGAAACTAGAATAAAACATCTGTTACTGTATCATCTCCAGCTCCAGAGGGAGCATGTGTTTAATAAATGTGGAGATTAATATTGTACACTACAGCTGTGACTGAGTCAGGTCAGTGGGCTACAGCATGTTTTCCCTTAATTTGATCGCAAGCCAAAAGCCCCAATTCAGCAAAGCCTCTGGGCACATCCTTAAAGTCCTAGTGATATCAAAGTTGGCTAAAAATCTGAATTGGGCCTAAAAAGCATCAAAGTAGACAGAGTTCAGCTATATGCCTGTATCTCCACTGAAGTTCAGAATTATCAGAATGAAGGGTACGGTATGTCCCATTTGCATTACAACCATAAAAGGTATAGTGGTCAGGAGCCCTGGCTACAAACTGCCTTGCCAACTAACATTCTCGGCTGAAGTGGTGTAGAAAGCCATTGCTGTCCCACCTCCACATGACAAGTCTCCTAAAGCACAAAGGGTGTTTGCTTGCAAGCCAGATACTTCAGGAGTTCTGTAGCTAGGAAGACTTCTGTCATTTTAGATTCCATCCCCTGAATGTCTACCTAAAGCATAGTTATGTTGATGGTCTTACATCTGCTAATCATTCACTGCCAGTGTTTTTATACAGATAGTGCAAAGTAAACTAAAAAGGCAGGTGCAGTTAGGAGTGGTAATTATAAGTGGAGACAAGAAGAGGTGGAGAAGCACCAGGCTACAGAAGGCTGAAAATTATGATAGTCTGGTCAAACAGTGGGAAAGCTTTTTACACGCTTGTCACCATCATTTTCAAGCCTGTTTAAAAAACCATTTGGCAAGGAAATGCTTTTTCACTTTCCTTTATCCCATTAGCCTTATGTTATTAGCAGAGTTAGGGAGTTTGACATAAACTCAAGCTACCTAATTACTGTGCTACAAACAGAGCCTCAAAACCAGCTTGTCTCTTTCTGCACTAGAAGTGTAACAGTTTAGTCCCAGAGGAAAGAGAAACATGCTAAGCCAAGTTGTCTTGCATTTGTCATGGGCTAAGTGGGCTTATGAAATGGCTTACCACGCTTGTGCTGATACATAGTACTTGTTAAACTTCATTATGTGTTTAAACCCTTGTTAATTTTGCAGTAGTAGCATAGATGTCCTTCAGTCAGCTGACACCAAACTACCAAGTTTCTTCTTGCTCTGAGGATTATAAAACCACTTTTGTTCAATTTTTTCATTCCTACTTTCCATGATTTATTTTTATTCCTTACCTGTTTTCTTAGTTCAGTGCAATTCTATAGTGGTAAAATAATGTGTTAGGACTCACTAGGAGGAAGCACAATCCCCAGTTAGTGCAGGAAAGATTACAGGTTGGGATTCTGGACTTTATTCCCATCTCTGGTGCTGATGCCTTGTGGGACTCTGGGCAAGAAGATTATTGTGACTCAGAATTTCTGCAAAGCGCTTGAGAGGACAGAGGTGCTTTTTCCACAGAAAGCACAATAATCTATTCATATTTAGATTGATGTGGAAGGGTGACTTTAAATAATTAAGTGTTGCCAGCACCGTTCCAGACTTTATGAAGTACAAGGTTTCTCATCTCAACTATGAAAGCTCTTTCATGATGATGTAACTGGCTAAATTACTTGAATATACTTTGCCATAGCTACCCCAAGTACAGGCATCCCATTCACTGGAGCAGAACAGTCCTATTTGTCTTTTTAAACTGGAATCCTAATATGAT